CATAGCAAGGAGGTATCAAAGTAATCCCGGAGTGGAGCACTGGACATCGGTCAAGAACATCCTGAAATACTTGAAAAGGACTAACGATATGTTTCTTGTTTATGGAGGTGAAAAAGAGCTCGTCGTAAACGGTTACGTCGATGCAAGCTTTGACACTGATCCGGATGACTCTAAGTCGCAAACCGGATACGTATTTTTATTGAATGGAGGAGCTGTCAGTTGGTGCAGTTCCAAGCAGAGCATCGTGGCAGGATCTACGTGTGAAGCGGAGTACATTGCTGCTTCGGAAGCACCAAATGAAGGAGTTTGGATGAAGGAGTTCATATCCGATCTAGGTGTCATACCTAGTGCATTGGGTCCAATGAAAATCTATTGTGACAATACTGGTGCAATTGCCTTGGCAAAGGAATCCAGAATTCACAAGAGAACCAAGCACATCAATAGACGCTTCAATTCCATCTGTTATCAAGTGTCGGAAGGGGACATAAAGATTTGCAAGATACATACGGATCTGAATGTTGCAGACCCGTTGACTAAGCCTCTTCCACGAGCAAAACATGATCAGCACCAAAGCTCCATGGGTCTTAGAATCATTACTATGTAATCTATATTATTGACTCTAGTGCAAGTGGGAGACTGAAGGAAATATGTCCTAGAGGCAATAATAAGGTTATTATTTATTTCCTTATTTCATGATAAATGTTTATTATTCATGCTAGAATTGTATCAACCGGAAACTTAGTACATGTGTGAATACATAGACAAAATATATTGTCCATAGTATGCCTCTACTAGACTAGCTCATTAATAAAAGATGGCTAAGTTTCCTAACCATAGACATGTGTTGTCATTTGATGAACGAGATCACATCATTAGGAGAATGATGTCATGGACATGACCCATCCGTTAGCTTAGCATTATGATCATTACAGTTTCATTGCTACTGCTTTCTTCATGACTTATACATGTTCCTCAGACTACGAGATTATGCAACTCCCGAATACTGGAGGAACACTTTGTGTGCTACCAAACATCACAACGTAAATGGGTGATTACAAAGGTGCTCTACAGGTGTCACTGAAGGTGTTTGTTGGGTTGGCATAGATCGAGATTAGGATTTGTCACTCCGTGTTTCAGAGAGGTATCTCTGGGCCCTCTCGGTAATACTCATCACTATAAGCCTTGCAAGCATTGTGACTAATGCGTTAGTTGCGGGATGAAGTATTACGGAATGAGTAAAAGAGACTTGCCGGTAACGAGATTGAACTAGGTATGATGATACCGACGGTCGAATCTCGGGCAAGTAACATACCGATGACAAAAGGAACGACGTATGTTGTTATGCGGTTTGACCGATAAAGTTCTTCATAGAACATGTATGAACCAATATGAGCTTCCAGGTTCCGCTATTGGTTATTGAGAGGAGATGCGGTCATGTCTACATAGTTCTCGAACACGTAGGGTCCCCACGCTTTACGTTCGATGACGATATGTATTATGAGTTATGTGTTTTTGATGACCGAAGTTTGTTCGGAGTCCCAGATGAGATCACGGACGTGACGAGGAGTCTCGAAATGGTCAAGACATAAAGATTGATATATTGGACGACTATATTCGTACACCGGAAGTGTTCCGGAGAAGTTTCGGATAAAACCAGAGTGTCGAAGGGTTACTGGAACCCCCCGCCGGGAATTAATGAGCCACCATGGGCCTTAGTGGAGAGAGAGGAGGGAGGCCAGGGCAGCCCTCCCCCTTGGAGTCCGAATAGGACAAGGGAAGGGGGGCGGTGCCCCCCCCTTTCCTACTCCCTCTCCCTCTCCTTCCTTCCCCCTCTCTCCCTCTTGGTGGAATCCTACTAGGAGTGGTAGTCCTAGTAGGACTCCCCTTGTTGGGGCGCGTCTAGGAGGGCCGGCCGGCCTTCCCTTGCTCCTTTATATATGGGGGCAGGGGGCACCCTAGAACACACAAGTTTCTCTCCCAACCGTGTGCGGTGCCCCCCTCCAGAGTTACACACCTCGATCATACCATCATAGTGCTTAGGCAAAGCCATGCGTCGGTAACATCATCATCACCGTCGCCATGCCGTCGTACTGACAGAACTCACCCTCGTCCTCATTTGGATCAAGAGAACGAGGGACGTCATCGAGCTGAACGTGTGCTGAAGCGGAGTGCCGTGCATTTGGTACTTGATCGGTTGGATCGCGAAGAACTTCGACTACATCAACCGCGTTATTGAAACGCTTCCGCTTTCCGTCTACGAGGGTATGTGGACACACTCTCCCCTTTCGTTGCTATGCATCACCTAGATAGATCTTGCGTGATCGTAGGAATTTTTTTGAAATTACCGCGTTCCCCAACAATTTTTCTTTTCGGCGGGCTCGTGCTCGGGCGATCCTCTTGCATATGCTCGCTTTGCTTGGGCTTTCCTGGGCTGCCGGGCAGGGACTGACTCCTTGCGCATTTGTTGTAACCTCCAGGTGCTTTCCATGGTGCAATATTTGCGTACCATGTCCGATAATTCAGCGAAGTTTTGCACGCGGTGGCGGGCGAGGGCATTTAAGATCCCTGCGTCCCGGCAGTTGAACCGAAAGGCTTCACTTATTTCTTCGTCCCGACAGTCCATTATCTTGTTTTTTAACCAAGAGAAATCTGGCCCAGTAATGATGGACCATTTCTTCGGGCTGATGCTTGACGTACATCAGGTCCCATACGTCTGGTCTTCCCGCATCCGAACAATATTCGGCGTGGGAGGTGGGTGGGAGTTTTTTTGGCAATCCCGTCTTCTGTGAGTCTTGGTCGTCGGCAACGACGAGCTGTGCCTGGGCTATGTCCGGATCTAATAGCGCAGTGTTTGGACGTACGCATGTACGTGGTTGGGCCGACTCAAGGTCAGATCATGTATCATAGGCTGAGTCCGAACTCTTATCTTGTCGGGTGTCCGTCTCCGGGCTAGAGACCCGGGTGTATACTGTCATGAGCTTCGGAGATCGTGATCCCTCCGTCCTTTCTTCAATGGTAGCGACGAGGTGAGTGATGGGAGGGATGTGGATCTCCCTGTTGTCAGGTTTAAGCCCGATCTGGTTGTAGGTCGTAGGCCTACTGACGGAGATTCCCATAGCTCGGAATCGATCCAACGGGTTGTTTACTGAAGAGGTCCCCGTCGCAGCCATGCCTCCTAGATGTTTGGTCGGATGTTCTTCAGATACTTTGATGGCTTTAAGGCCAGACTCCGGATTGCGTCGGCTCCCTTTACATCCACCGAATCCGAGGTCAAGGCGTCGGGCTCAGCGGGTTCTTCGGAAGTGGGGCTTCGTCGGGGCCGGCGCCGGACTCCAAGTTCCGGTGGCCGGCTTCGTGATCGGCGGTGAGGTTTTCAACCGGGTTCAAACGACCGGTGAGGTTGACGCGAAAAGTGATGCTGCCGAACGTAAAGATCTGGCCGGGGACGAAGATGTCCCTGGCACTAGCGGGGTTTCCAACGAATAGGTGGGCCATCGATCCTTTGGCGATCCGCAGCGGAACTCTCAATGAAAGCACCAATTTCGGTGTCAAAACCGGCGGATCTCGGGTAGGGGGTCCCGAGCTGTGGATCTAGGATCAATGGGGAACAAGGGACGAAGAACACGGTATTTACCCAGGTTCGGGCCCTCTCGAAGAGGTAAAGCCCTACGTCCTGCTTGAGTGTATTTGATGTGTATGGTATGGTTATAGAGTGGATTTACCACGAGATCAGGCCAGCTAAACCCTAGGTTGATGGGGTGATGGATGTTGCTCTGGCCCTAAAGATTAAAACCCCTTGATTTATATAGACACCAATAGGGTTAGGGTTACATGCGATCGGTTATAATGGTGGAAAGATCACGCTAACCCTTGACTTAGAGGGCAACCATGACTCCGAAGATCTCCTGTCCGGCTAAGGATCCACACTCCAACTTGGCCCCATAGTGGCCCATCAGTTCGGCCCATACGCAAATGGGCCGGCGGCCCGAGGACCCCTTAATTCAGGACTCCTGAGTCGTACTCTCGAAAAAAAGGTGAAATTTGCTCTCATTTGCTCAACAATTGGGAGGTATATCTACTAATATGATGTTTATCAAACAAGATATCAGTTGGGCTTACATAGTTACATTTGCTGATTTTCGTAACAGTTTTAGCTGGCATCCGATGATGACATTGTCAAGTGCCGATTTACACATGTTGGACAGACTTACTCTCTGTTGGCATTTGGCACCGAACGGTTTCACCACCTTTCCGTTTGTGCGTAATTAGATGGCTGGAGAAAACGAGTTACTCCACGCATAAAAAAATGTGGTGGAATGCGCTGTATACTCACAATTAATGGACATGCTTATTCAAACCAAGGCATTCAGTGTCATCTTTGACGATTATAGAACGATAAGTCGCGTAAGGTGTTCTCCACTGGGTAGACTGGGCCTTGCCAATCCTCATGTGGTTGGTTGTTAGATGAAAGGAGCCTGTAAATCTTTGTATGTCTAGCATTTTTGGGATTTTACTGTGCTCTCTATACACGCCCAGTTTCTTCTTAACACAATACAATCACAAATGCCCACATACATGTAATATTATAAATTTTCGAGAGAAAAAGTTCCGTAAATATACAGAATATATACACTATCTAACATCTACAAAATTCTAAATCAAATTTTCTTGCAGGGTAAAAGGACCCTATTATTTCAAACCAAAACTTGATGTGCTGTTCGAAAAAAAAAGAGACAAAGTTATATTGAGCCAAATCTAATACACACACTTACATACAGACTTCGATGCATTTCAAATCCATATACGTCTTCTTCGTTGCTCCGTACAGGTTCCAAGTGGATCTCACAACAACAAAAGCTCAAACATCACAAAAGAATGCTAGTATGACTGAGGATTGGTTAGTATCATATTCAATCTTTTCTACAACACGCACAGCACCAGAGATATGTATGTAGTATCATATTCATATCCTGAAGCTGGCTACCTAGCGGAGTTCTAACTTAATCAGTGATAGTGACGCGCTGTCTCCTTGTATTCCCATTTTTGATTTCGACCGGAACCTCTTGGTGCTGCTGCTGCTGCTGTGACGACCGCCGGCGACCAGCTGCGGCGACGCTCTCGTCACCTGCTCCCGCATTCCGCCCGCCGAACAGCTCGTCTATCATGGTGATCACGTCCCCCGGCGTCAGTCTGGCCACAGCGCCCTGCCGCCGGTAGAAGAGCCTGTACATGGGCACCACGGCCTCCTTGGCCGCCGCTCTCAGCGCCTCCCCCATCTCGTCGTCTGCCGCCACCCACTTCTCTTGCATCGCCACCATCTGCACCACCGCCTCCTCCACCGCGCCGCCGCGAAGCACCTTGCTCCCCCACGCCGCGCGCACGTACACGTCAACGTACCCGCGCGCCTTGGCCATCTGCGCCTCCGCCCACTCCTCCCCGAGGATCCGCTCCAGCTTCGTGCCGCCGCCCACCTTCTTGGCCACGTAGTGCGTGTTGTTCGCCAGGAACAAGTAGCTCAGCGCCGGTTCCCGGTAGCTCCCGGCCTTCGCGTCCAGCTTCCGTAGCAGCACATGCACGAGCCAACCGATGGGGTTCGACCACACGCTCAACGCCGGCGAGGAAGACGACGACGACGAGAGATCCGACGACGAGCCCATGCTGCCAGAGGCGAGGGATGACGTGTCCGTGAACTGGTCTGCTCCTACCCCGACTCCTTGTTGGTAGAAGTATATGTGAGCCAGCGCGTTCTCGTAGTCGGCGAGGAAGCTGAGGTAGTTCATGACGTAGCGGGTGAGCGGGTGCACTGCGCCGCCGGGCACCGTGCCCTTGGACGGCTCTTTCTCGATGGCTGCCTCGAAGCTGGCCACCATGCTCCGGACCGCCTCGCTGACCTTGGTCGTCACGAGGGTGGCGGCGCGGGAAGTGACCTCCGACTTTTCCCCGAACGCGGAGACGATGGCCGGGAGTATGGTTTCGGTGAGCGCGTCGTGGACGTCGAGCACGCGGAACAGCCGCTCCGGCGCGCGCCGTGCCCGCCCGACGGCAGCCTCGGCGACCGCTAGGATGTTGGTGGCGTGATCGTCCGCGATGGCTCCGAACACCGCGTCGCCGACGCCCTCGTTGTCGCCGATGAAGACGCGGTCGCAGAGCTCCCGCTCGGCGGAGAAGACGGACGTGAAGGCGACGCGCGCGCCGGCGAGCCAGGACTGTATCTTGGCGTCGACCTGCTCCCAGGAGAGCTTATGGACCTGCGCGTGCTGCGGGGACAGCGAGAAGCCGTGCAGGCGCTGCAGGTTGGCGGTGACCGCCGTGCGACGGCGCGCCTTGAAGATGGACACGCACTCCTTGCCGTACCCGGCGGCCATCATGGCCTCCGCGACCACGCGAAGGTGAGCGCAGGTGTCCATCAGGCTTTGGTCATCGTCTTGCTCGTGGTCATCATCAACCTCACCATCATCATCATCTTGGCGGAAGCGGAGGACGGCGGGGAGGGAGGTGAGGAGTAGCTGGAGCTCGCGCTGGAGCCTCCGCATGGCCGTGTCGAGAAGCTCCTGCGCGTGGATGAGGCCATGGCCCCCGGCGTGGAGGGCGTCGGCGGTGGTGGCGACTCCCGAGGCGTAGAAGAGCATGGCGCGGTGGAGGTCCTTGGCGGCGCGCAGGAAGGCGTCGACCTCGTCCGGGGTGGAGTCGAGGAAGAGCGAGCTGCCGAAGGAGTCCTCGTCCGGGTGCCACTTGTCGAGCAGGATGGCGGCGGCCGCCACCGTGTCGTCGACGACGGTGGCCGGGAGCGTGCGACGAGGGGCCAGGGGGCTCCGGCCGCCGGCGCGCGTCATCGTTGGTTGCAGCGGACAACCGACGCTCGATGGGCGGGCGATGCGTGTGGGAGAGAAAGAGACCGTACGTTGCTTAGCGGCAGAGGTAGCTAGCTGAGCGGTGCCTTGGTTTGCAAGGAGGAGGCGAGGCGGAGTTTGTTATTACGAAATTGCTTCACACACGACACTTGATGCACGATCGGCAAACGACACTTGCTCCCCAACAGCGCTAGCATCAGCTAAGGAAAAAACAATTGCTTCCTTCCTTCACAGTCAGCTGCCAAGTAAGATCGTGCAAGAGTCGGTCACAAATATGTCGTCTGTATAGCAGCGCCGTTGTTATTAAGAGGATAGGATGGCCGGCAGGGGGTACTTATAGACGGACGGACGACTCGGCATTCCTCCATCGGAAATGTCGGTCAAACGTGACACCTCGGCGGCCCGCGTGCGTCAGCCTGCCTCACGAGGATGGGCACAGGCGCGTTGCGGCCGTGCATTCGAATAGAGTATGGCACGCGGGGAAACAGCGTGATGAAATAGTAGTGTACTACTCCGATTTGGACTATTAGCTAATTTGGAGTTAATGATGTGGAGATTGGACTGCGGCGTAAGCTGGTCTCTCCACCCAAATACTCCTACGAGGGCCAGGTAGTACGCTTTTGTTGCCGGCGCTACACGGCATTTACAAGAGAGCAACGCGTAAATTGATCGCATCGCACAGCCTCCTCGAAGCTGCTTCCAACCTTCCAAGGCCTAAATACAACCCACGCCCTCAATACAAGAGACAAATTTACCTTGCACCTCAGCCTTGCGTTTTGTCTCCATGCCTGTCATAAAATTACTTAGTTTATGTACTGTACGGAGACGTTTGGCCTCTTGCTTTCTGTACCTTGCTGGAGTATAATGTCCAGGCCTCTTCTATAGTTTAAGTTTTTTGGATGAATTGATGCGTGCAGTTCTACACTGTCAAGTAAATGGTGATTCTTTTTAAGAAAAACAAAGAAGAAAAAGAGATCAACGGTTACTTTGGTACCCAAACATGAGATGTCAGTAAGGGCATCTCTAAAGCGAACACGTAAACTTTCCGCAACAGTTAGGACCGAGCTGTTCGCACAACGAAAGCTGGTAATTTGTCTCGGTCCGTGGAGCAGTCCAGACGTGGTTTCTCCCGTAAATCGGAGACAAAAGTGAAGAAGGTTTGCTGGAGTCCGGACCGCTCTCAATCGCGCTTCTGGCCGCCCTGGCCCACCAAAAAAAACTGCACCCCTCTCCCCCGCGCGCTCCTGCCAGGCGCCAGCTGTCCATATTCATGCCACTGTAGAGCGCGCCGCTCCGCATTGAAGACGGCTCAGGACGGACGCGACTTCTCACTGCCTCCGTCATTGAAGCAGCGCGCCGGCCGAGGGCGCCGCCCGCTGCACGCCCAGCTGAACACGCCTCCTCGGCGCATTCATACGCTCCCATTAACCCTGCGTGGAAACGCAGAAACCTACTTCGGCCATACGTCCGTTCATGAGCGGGCCAACATTAAACGCAACGCCGGGCAAGCTTCTTCCGTCCGCCCTTTATTTAAACGATGGCAGGCGCCAGGCAAGAAGCACACCCCTCCACCGCTCCCCCATCTCCTTCTTCACCATTTTCTTCACCATTTCGATGGCATTCGACGGACAAGAAGGGCAGTTCTCCGGCATAAAAGCGGCATGGTGGCCCGCCGAGCCTGGTTGATACAAGCGAGGCCGCTCCAAGCCAGCTCACGGGGGAGTGGCGAGTTGCTCCAGGCCGACACGGAGGGGAGGACGGCGGCATGGGCATGCACGACGCCGCGTCGTACCACCCCTCCAGTGCCTACGACCGTGCCATCACTGTCGACGCGCGCGTAGTCGCGCCATGCAGACAGTGAAAGAAGGTGGACGCATGGAGGAGATCGACAAGTCGATGGCCAACGCATACGCGTCCACTTCCGCTGGCAACTTCGGGGGAAAGTAGAACACGGGAGGCCGTCGCTGCTTGGGTCCTAGGAAGGACACCCCCGGCGCGTCGCCGGCTTGCACAGCCGATGATGTGTGCGGTTTCTTCTTTATCTTAGACCACCCTGGCCTGGACGTCCACGGAAGCACCCTTCCCCTCCCGCTGAAGCACCCTCTTCGCCACACTCTGATGAACGTGTTAGAATATATATAACCGTATTGTTTTGTATGGTTATACGGTTGTATATGTGTAGTCCTTGTATAGGTGTCCGTATATTGTACGACACGAACTCTGCCTTGTAACCTATATATATATATATATATATATAGATCAATACAAGGCACCACAACGTGTGGTTTCCCTAATCTTACATGGTATAGAGCCTAAAAACCTAACCCTAGCCTGTGCCGCCCTCCTCCTCCTTCCGCTGCCGCCGAAACCACCACCTCTCTCGCCGCCGCGCCCACACCGCCGCCTCCATGTCGCAACCCAACGCCGACGCGACGAACCAGGCGCTGGCCGCCGCCAAGGAGCGCCAGGACGCCGAGGCCACCAAAGCCGCGAAGGCAAAGCTGCCTCTCGCGACCGCCGCCGATGGATCCGGGACGAGCGTGGGGTCTTTCTCCTTGACCTCGCTGCATGCCCAAGCCGTCGGTCTCCACTCCATCAAAGGCCACGTTCCCATCGAGCTCGCGCTTGACACCGGCGTTCACCGGCAGTGGCGCACCTTCTTCCGCATCGCTTGTCGCAAGTACGCCCTCCTGGATCACCTCGACTTCGATGCTCCCGATGCACCGAACCCGGAGTGGTCTCTCCTCGACGCCACCGTCGTCTCCTGGCTCTATGGGTCTGTCTCGCTCAGTATCCTCGATGTCGTCATGACGCCTGGCGACGATCCCCTCGTCGTCGATCTCTGGAACAACAACAACGGTCTCTTCAACGACCACAAGATCAATCGCCAACTCCACCTTACGGCCGAGCTCGGCGATGTCAAGATGGGAGAGATGAGTATGGCCGACTATCTCCAGAAGGTCAAATCCCTCTCCGACGGGCTTGCGGATCTTGGCGCCCCCATTGACGATGCCGAGATGGTGGTCCACTGCCTCAACGGCCTCTCCGAGCAATACGAGTCCGCCGCCGATCTCATCTCCCTCATGCCCGGGATGACCTTTGCGCAGTGCCGCTCGTTGCTTGCGCTCCAAGACATGAAGCGCAAAAACCGCCGCGCCCGCAACTCAGACACGACCCTCTTCACCAACACCGGCAACCCTGGCAACACCGGCAACCCTGGCAAGGCTCCTGGAAAAGGAAAGAAGAAGAAGAAGGCCGCCGCTGGAGTCACCAAGGAGACCCCGGCGCCCGCGACCCCGCAGCCTGCCACTCCTTCCTGGCCCTCACCGCAACATCCCTGGAACGGCGCCATCCAGATGTGGCCCTATGGCCAAGGGGGGCTGCTCGATCGCGCGCCGCCCGGCTATGGCGCTGCTCCCGGCTACGCGCCCCGGCACACCCCGTCGCCGCATGCGTTCTACACCCAGAACCCGTACGGCGTTGCTCCCTACGGCTACGGCTACGCCCCTGGACAGCTCTCCTACGGCCTCCCCGGCACTGCTCCAGCATCACCGGTCTCATCTTCGGCTTCATGGGACTAGGGCGCGCTCATGCATCAGTTCCAAACCATGGGGCTGCAAGCACCCTCCAGGGAGTGGGTGATGGACACCGGCGCCTCCTCCCACTCTGCGTCCGATCCCGGTATGCTCACCTCTGTGTCCCCCCTCCTCTTCTCGTCGTGCTGTCGTTGTCGGTAACGGTTCCACTCTTCCAATCACCGGTACCGGTCATGCATGTCTTCCTATGTCTACTACCTCTCGCCCTCTTTACCTTCGTAATGTCTTAGTAGTTCCTAACATAGTTAAAAATCTTTTGTCTGTTCGTTAGTTCACCATTGATAATCGTGTATCCGTCGAATTTGACCCTCTTGGTTTTTCTGTGAAGGATCTTCTATCCAGGACCGAGATTCTCAGATGCAATAGCTTCGGAGCTCTCTACTCCATCCGCCCTTCCTCTACCAGCCAGCCACACGCCTTCCTCGTCGTCGATGCAGCACTCTGGCACCGTCGGCTTGGGCATCCTGGGCGGCCCGTCATGGAGTCATTAGCTCGTTCTTCGGTTATTCCTAGGGAAAAGAATAAAAGTAGATTGTGTCATGCTTGTCAGTTAGGTCGTCATGTTCGTCTTCCTTTTTCTTCCACCAATCGTGTAACCACTACTCCGTTTCAAATAATTCACTGTGATTTGTGGACCTCTCCTGTTGAGAGTATTTCTGGCTTCAAGTATTATCTCGTCTGTCTCGATGATTTTACTCAGTATGCATGGGTGTACCCTCTACGGGCTAAGTCCGAAGCTTTCTCGCACTTGTCGTCCCTTCATTCTTTAGCGCTCACCCAGTTTAGTGCACGCTTGCAGGCTATTCAGTGTGATAATGGTCGTGAGTTCGATAATTCACTCCTCCATTCCTTTGCCCAGCACCATGGAATTGCACTCCACTTTTCATGTCCATACACTTCGCAACAGAATGGTAAAGCCGAACGCATTATTCGTACTCTTAATGACATTACTCGTACACTACTTATCCAAGCCAGTATGCCACCTCGTTTCTGGGTTGAAGCTCTTCACACCGTCGTTATGTTGCATAATCGGCTGCCTTCAAAGGCAATCTCGGATCGTATTCCCTTTCGTGCCTTACTTGGCGTAGATCCTGCATATGCTGGTCTTAGGTTTTTCGGATGTCTATGTTACCCCAACACCATAGCCGTCGCTCCGCACAAACTTGTGCCTCGCTCCGTGCCATGCGTGTTTCTAGGGTACCCATCACGGCATCATGGCTATCGTTGCCTTGATCGTTCCACCCAAAAGATCATCATCTCTCGTCATGTAGTGTTCGATGAGTCAACCTTTCCATTCGCCTCCCCTCCATCTTCGTCAACTCCTACTCCTTCCCTGCACACCTATGATTTTTTGCAGGGTGCTGAGCAACCGGTTTCGTTGATGCC